TCTCTCTCTCTGCGAGGGAATTCATCCAATTACAATCAACTACCCGCGACGCTTCAAATCGAGTTACCGCGTCCGGTTTGCCTGTGTAACAATTTAGCACGGCCGGCTGAAATCCGATTCCCAGCGCACTTCAAAAGCCCGGGCCGATCCGTTAGGACAGGGCCCTGAGGTACGGTGTGAGATCGAGGCCAGAGCCGGCGTGGAAATTTAATCTAGAATACCATAGCTTTGGAGAACAGCCTATAGCGGGCCTGTCACCGTCACCATGACAACCGGTGCCCGAGGACGCCCAAGTCATGACCTGTACTTACACGAGGCCTAGCGATGCTGGTGTTGTTTTTATACCCAGGTTCTTAATGGACTTAATATATCTAATGTTTGTTCATGGCCACCTGTACGCGCAGCCAGAGACCCGAAGGGCCGCGGGCTCTGATAAAGGTTCCAGACGCTCTTTAATGAACAATTTAAGTGTTGTTGTGTGTCATGATGCCAACATTTCTGTAGTTGATACCAATACCAGTGAAACGGCACGATTCTCGAATCCTCAGTAAAAACTAGTATCACATTTACTGTACTGCAATTAAATAAAAAGTGTATGTGTATATATATACATATATGTATTAAAATAATAAAATAATATGTATAATATAATATATACAATTGTATATAAGTATGGTATATTTTTAACATTTATTTAATGTTTTAAATAATATATATATATATACACTTTTTATGTCATTGTATACTGTATATATTATTTTATTTTATTTGTATGTGTGTGTGTTCCATTAAAAATATATTTTTTATTACTTTATAAAAGGTGATGTTCAATTGCATGTTATATATATATATATATTAGAATAATTTAATATATTATATAACATACAAACAATTTTATATTAAATATTTATAGATTATAATACATTTAAATTATATATACACACATTTTATATTATAAAAAATATAATATTTTATGTGCTATTTAATACACACTTATTTAAAAAATGAAATATTAACAAATTAAACACAATGAGATTGAGGAAACTCAATTAACTAAACGTTTGTGACAGTTTCATTCCTGTGTTTAGTTCCTGTACCCTTTGCTAGTTGGTTTCTATGGTTACTCATTTGTTAATTGATTATGTTCACTTGAGTCTGGTTTGGTTGCTCGTTTAGTCACGTGTTTAAGCCCTCAGTTTGGTTCTTCTCTTGTCATGTATTGTATTTATCAAGTGTGCAGCACACATCTTGAAGAGTGAAGCCAACACGTTTTGATCGCCCCCTGGTGGCTGGCTGCAGTACAGCTCATAAACCCCGCCCTCTCCATGTAATCCAATGGGACGCGAGCCAAACTAAAAAATTCAATTACACTGGACTGGTTTCAGTCATTTTAGCTAGTTCTCATCACCCATACGAACGCTCAAGTGTTCGTTTCCCCAGTAAGTTTGTTTTTAGTCAGTGATCTGATGCTATAAAAACGGGTGTAACATCACGATCAAGTCTGAACGACGTAATCCCCAGTGACCGTTACTGGGATATTTTGGCTTCATTTTTCTACAGGGGAAGGAAATATACAAAACATTAAAAAAATTCTAAATACACTAAATCTGCTGCAATTGTGATCCTCTGCTCGTCTTCCCTTCACTGCCCCGTGACATACATTATTGCTGTGAACATGTTTTTCAGTATGGTGATGGTCTACACTAGCCTAGAAATCTAGACGCACCCTAGCGGTCAGCGAAAATTATTTCGCAGCCAGTGTGGTCTAGGCAACTCTCCATAGGCTTTTGAGCTGGAAAAAACCAAAAACTGGTCGGGCCAATCACATCGTGTATAGAGTCGGTGGGCGGGCTTAACACAATGACGGCACAGTTCATGACGTTCCGCGTGATTTTCCATAGGTGATTTTCCTGCTACTTGAAAAACAATGAAGATGCAGCGGTCTTTCGAATCGGCTTTGGCCGCGACTCTGGAGGACTTGGAGTTAAGAGAACGTCACTTAAAGGTGCCATATGTAAAAATTGAGGTAAAAATATCCAACAAATGAGCTACACGTATCAAAAGAATGAGAAGAAATAAATGCAATGACGTCATTAAAAAAATGACAAGTTATAGTGCTGCCGAGATATAAACCTGAATTAGCATGCTAAATTACTAGCCCCGGCCCGGCCGGTGTCATAATACCAGTTTCGGCCATGGGAGGCGGTATGCGGGCAACATACATAACCACCAGCCAAACTCCAATACACGAATAACTCGCACGGCTTGTGGGCGTACTTGAACCTGTCAATAGCGTCTATATGAGACCGGCCTTTATAATTTAGTGTTGAGATGTTTTTCATTGAGTCTCTAATCTCTAAAAATCTCCAAATGAACTGCGGTCTTACGATCGTGTCAATTGATTTGATTAATATGCGCGAGGGAGAGCAGGAGGACAGCGCTCGTGTTGTTTGAAGACGTGAGAGTGCGCGCGCGCGGCCGGGGCGCTCTCTCTCTCTCTCTGCTCGTTATGCGCCCTGTCAAGCGAAACTAAAAAACAGACTAGAGTAGGCCAACTTTCTGGAGGTATACTGCCCCCATCTGGTATGGAATATGTGGATTTTGAATTTATTTTTTTACACAAGGCACCTTTAAGTCATTCTTAAAAAAGGAAGATGTGTTCGGAGTTTTACCGACCTGATACGGCAAAAGTTTAATATATCAATTAGCTCCGCTGGTGGAAAAACGCATGGGACTCACTCATCCACAGCCGTTCGTTGCTCTGGTTGGTTGTAGCGTTATCCTATTGCGTGCAGAGGGATTTGAAAGGTAAACGTTTATCCCGCCCCCTCGGATTGAGGCATGTCAATGGAGAGTTCCCAGACCTAACATCTTGATGTTGGTCTGGCATGCCAGGCTAGGTCTACACTAGCCTGACGTCGTCATACTCAGATTCTAGTCAGCATGCGAGTCTGATGCGGCTCCATTGGGCTGTGATTATGGGGCGTTTCAACCGAACCAGGAAAGAAAATGCCTCTGTACTCAATTGGATCGACAAATGCCTTGATCGCGGTTCTCTGTTCCTCTTTTAAAATGAATGCGCTGTCTACATCTCCTATAACAGACGCGACGGCTGAATCTACACATCTCACTTCTCCAGCGGCGGCCATCTTTGTTGTAAACGAACTCAACCCAAGTGCTCTTTGGTGACGTGATGATTACGCTACTGTTGATCATCTGTCCATCATCGTATAAAGCCCGCCCTGATAATTTGATTGGTCCGAACAGCTTTAGTTCGGGTATACTCGCTTCACAACGGATCGAACTTGCCATCCTCAAATGTTGTGGGCGGGGCTAAGCTCGGCTGGCATCCAGGCTAGGTCTACACCAAAACACCGAAAAAACAAACAACGAGTATAGACAGACCCACCGTAATCTCACTAACACAAAAAGGCAAGGATCAAGCTCTTGAGCAATACTTAAAGTCCCCATGAAATCAAAATTTACCATACTTACTTTGTTTGCCTAAATTGATCGTTTTGTGGTGAACAATTCATCCATGCAAGTCAATCCACACAAAAAAAAATTTTGGCTTCGTAATCTTTAATCAAATTTTGAAAATGCCCCTCCCCTCTGCATTGGAGGACCTTGCCCGATGACGTAGGCTTTACGGTTTGGGCGTCTGCTTAACATCCATAACCACGCCCCTCCAACTGACAGTAGACAGGCTGAATGAAAACACCTACTTTTCTAGATCCAATCAGGTGCTAGTTGGAAAAAAAGCCACGCCCACTATTTTGCCTCATTTAGTATTCCGTTTCTCTCGGAAATACGTCACAACACTGGAGAAAAGTCGTTTGCAACTTCCGGTTCACGGGGACTTTAAGTGTCTCTGCGGAGGCGGGCGCTCTATAAATATCTGTATGCGTGTGGTTTTGGGAGTGGGACAGACAGCGCGAGAGACAGGTGCTCAAGCTCAGATTTCTCTAATGAAAGAGCAGACGCTGTCACTCTTCATCCCTCACTCCCGTCCTCTGAAACCTTCCTCAGACCGTCAGTCCAGCAATATAGATTTATAACAGCCAATAAACTTCATTTGGTGTTCGTACTCATTTAAAACTTTAAATGTCTTATTTAAGCAATAAGATACAAGAGACCATGTGAATATTGTTAACCATTGTAATCAACTACAGTTACGGGCCACTGTAATGGATTATTGGTCAATTTAGGATAATTTTATTAAGTTACTCATTTGTGTTGCTTCCAAATCCAAATTTGATGTACATGTGCAAAAACCTGATGTTCAAACATAAATTTGGATTTGGAAGAAATAATATAAATATCTACGCAAGTATAATATATATTTTATATATTTTTTAGAAATAAATTCTAATATATATATATATATATATATTAGAATACATATTTTATTTTATAATTAATTTATAAAAAATACAAATTATTATATATATTTTTTACATACATATTTTATTTTAAAATTAGTTTGTAATTATATATATATATATATATATATATATATATATATATATTATTTGTATTAATTAATATTTTTTATAAATTAATTCTAAAATAACATGTATGTAAATGTTTATATTTTTATTTTAGATTTAATTTATGAAAAGGATAGAAATGACAGTATATATAATGTAAATATATATGTATAAATGAAAATATATATATTTTATATTATTTCATTTGTTTTATAAATTAATTCTGAAATAAAACATTTACGTAAGAATTTTAGCTGTTGTTTATATATAATAGCCTATACTTCTCATATTACACATCAAAAATCTCCCCCTTTCTATATTCCTAAATCTTTTTATATATGAAATATCCAATAAGTGTAATTTTAAGAAATAAAAGGCGAAACATCACGGCACCCGCTTAATTCCTTACAGCACACAGACATGCGTGACCACAGCAGTGGCCGGCTAACCTCGGCCCGGACCCGAACACAGAGGCGGATGGAGGGTTTGGGACGTGTCTGAGGCTCTTACCCAGAACTTCACGAGGAAGAAAGCGTTGGGCGGTCCCTTCTCAAATAGCTCCTTCAGCCCTCCTTTCTTCTCTGGGAATTTGTCGTAAATCTGCCGTATATCCACGGCCTCGAGGTACGGGTCGCTGTACGTGGGGTTGGACTGCCCGATGTGAACAAACAGGTGTTTGTTGACCTGTAAAGCACAAATCTACGTCAGTACAGGCATATAACCATTAGTATTAATATTGTGAAGCACTTGAAGCATGCAAAGAAGCTCAATCAGTAACAATGAACACGTCTGAAATTGCTTCAAGTGGTTGATGCGTATTTATATAACTCCAGTTGATTTGCATAACTATAATGAAAATGTCCCAGCAGTGATTTTACAAGTATTATATCATTGCATATGGGAGTGTGAAGAAGTAAAGAGTTTTTGGAAATGTGTGAAAGAAATGATAGATAAGATCCTTGATGTTAACATGTCACCTGTCACTTTTTTATTTCATTTCTATCCTAAGGAGATCTAGTAAAAAAAAAAGAAAGAGTGTGTATTTATAAATGTATGTAGGCCTATTCTTCAAGCAAAATGGCTTATTTCTTGAAAGGCACACTATGCGATAATTTTACCTTAATATAACAGCTTCAAAGTCATTTCGGTGGTAAACAAACTCATAGTAGGGCGAATCATCCTGGTAGTAAAGCTTGGGGGGGACGCCGCTGGAAAAACCAGCAATGCAAGTTTGAGAGGAGCGCCCCGACAAATCTCACGAGAATCACGACATGCTTTACGCCAACGACGTCACACACATCAACAACGACGTCACACACATCAACAACAACATTGAAGCACGAAGACACTTGCGCGCATTTCAGACGTGATACTCGACGATGGAAAAAGCAAAGAAAACGCGGTCGGAAGAGACTAGGAAAAGGAAAAGAGAATCTGACCGCGTGAGGAACCGGACAAGAGTCTCACTCGGTCGGGCTTTCACTCGTTGGCGCGAGCTAAAAAGCAGCACTGGATGCAACAGCGATGCTGACCTGGCGATCTTGTTGATGGACTAGTAAGTAAATCTTTCTAAGTTTGTGTGCATTTTATTTTGTGATTTCACCGGAATGAATAGAGAGTCTCCGCAACGGCGATAGATTGAAGAGCGCGTCCGAGTGAAGACTGCGCGCGCCGCCACAAGAGACACTATGTATCCATGACACTGATAGCAGCGGACACGAGCGCTCAGGTTGAGTTCAAAAACACATCTCTTATTTAAAGGCACACTATGCAAGATTTGTACCTTCATATAACAGCTTCGAAGGGGTATCAGGCCGTGAGTGCAGAGACGCTTTGCGTGAGTGGTATTTACGACAGTAACGTTAAATACAAGTAGGGTCGCTGTTTGACAAAAACGGAATTCCTGCATAGTGTGCCTTTAAATTGGAAAAGTATTTGTCCACCGAGTATGGGACGTTGGCTAAAAGAAATGATAACTAATATGTCAATGGAAAAGATAACTTAGATTTTAATGGATAAATACACAGTTTATAAGGGAGTTTAGGGACCTTTCAGATCGTTCTTGAAAAGTGGTGGATTTGGAAAGCTGCTTATAGAAGACTAAAGGTGCATGCACACTGAGTCCCAAATGTTCGTATGTGTTTTTTGGTATTGGTTATTCGGTGCCTCTGAACTGTCAAAACACTCCTCAAAATGCGGAAAACACTGAAAATCGAACCCGATCCGAATTTTTTTGATGACGGGCCGAAAGTTTCGGATGCAGTGTGTAAACTTGATTGACACAACGTGAGGTCGTATCTTATTTTTTAACGTGCGAAAATTTCAGGCGAGATATTTAATTTCTATGTTACTTGGAAATGTATACAGGTGAAACTCGAAAAATTAGAATGTGGTGCAAAAGTTTATTTATTTCAGTAATTCAACTTAAAAGGTGAAACTAATATATTATATAGACTCATTACATGCAAAGTGAGATATTTCAAGCCTTTATTTGTTATAATTTTGATGATTATGGCTTACAGATATGAAAACCTTTTCACAATATTCTAATTTTGGGGTTTTCATATCTGTAAGCCATAATCATCAAAATTATAACAAATAAAGGCTTGAAATATCGCACTTTGCATGTAATGAGTCTATAAAATATATTAGTTTCACCTTTTAAGTTGAATTACTGAAATAAATGAACTTTTGCACAATATTCAAATTTTTCGAGTTTCACCTGTATGTATTAGGGGTGTAATAATATATCGTGTCACAATATATCGCAATAAATGCATCGTGAATAGTGCCAACATGTATTGTGTATAATTCACCCATAAAAATGACTATGTGAGAACTGTTTAGTGCCAATATAATGTATAATAATGCAATGGGTCCTGATGAAGCCACATGTCTTATGTTATCAATAAAAAGTGGCCTACATTATTTTAAATATATCTAGTCAGTTCAAGCATATTATTCATCTAAAATAATTCTGTGTTTTTATCTTCA